GGGCTGGGAGTCAGATCGCAAAGCCCCTTTCCTGGGCTGCTACAATATACCACCCCGCTAGAAATCAACAGAATCTGGGGAGGAAACAGAAACCGCTGGACAGAAATCTTCAATTTTCGAGCATCTTTACTAAGAGCAGAGGTGAAAACCCAGCCAGAGTTTACTGTTTTCGCAGGTGAGTGGCTCTTCCTCAGTTCAACAAAAATCAAGACTTGTCCTTGGTTCTTCCAAAACAGATGCTGTCAGCCAGCCTTGGGGCGCTTTTTGGTCATTATTTCTGCTCCTATGTGCTTTTACTTCATTGAATTTGGGGATACACTTTTTTAAAAAAGATTTTATTTATTTATTTGTCAGAGAGAGAGAAAGCACGCGAGCACAAGCAGGGGGACCGGCAGAGGCAGAGGGAGAAGCAGACTCCCCTGCTTGTGTTCGCGCTCGCTCTCTGACAAATGAAATCCCGAGCAAGGGACCCAATGCAGGGCTCCATCCCAGGACCTCGGGATCATGACCTGAGCCAAAGGCAGACGCCCAACCGACTGGGCCACCTAGGCGAGCCTGGGGATAAACTTTTATTGACGTTTTATACGCACACGGAACACATGGGGTAAGCGTTGAGGTCACTGCATTTGTACATGCTGATTATACACATAGAACCAGCACCCAGATCAAGAAACGGAACTCGGCCAAGGGCCCCAGAAACCCTCCTTGTACCCTTCCCCCAGGCACCTCTCCCCCACCCCATCCCAACATCACAGATCAGCTCTGTCGAAACAACTTATTCTTTTTAACCTTACGAAATTAACTCTCAGGTTGGGATTTTGTAATTGACAGAGAACAAAACATGGGAACGGGGTCAGAATGGAAGGGTGGTGGGGAGCACGAGCTTGTGAACCTGAATCGTGGCTCTCAAATTTCCAAATTTCCCAGCCATGCTCCTTCGTGAAAATGACTTAACCTCTTTAAGTCTGAGCTTCCTCATCAGAGAAAGGGTGTATGATGGGCTTTTCTGGAATCAGTGAAATACCATAGGTAAAACGAAGAGGATGCCTTGCACAGTTATCACTCTTCAGAGTAGTGCTGCCAAACTATGGCTTCCTGTATTATAAATAAAGTTTTATTGGAACAAAGCCACATCTACTCATTTACACATTGTCCACACAGTTCCTGCATAGAAGGGCAGCCTTGGGTAACTGCAGCAGAGACCCTATGGCTTGCAAAGCCTTCATACAGTATTTATTAACTGGCCCTTTACAAAGTGTACTGATCCCTGCTTTAGAACATGGGCCATGTTAGCTGCTGTGTCCACGGGGACGAGAACAATCTGGCACGTGGTAGGCACCCATGTGGTGGCTTTCATTTGTGTTGCATGTGACAAACACCGATTTCTTTGTCATCATTAATGGGTTTTCCATATTTTGCAGCTGAACACATTCCTAAATGGTATTATAAGAAAGTAGTGAGATGATAAAAATCAAGCCTGATAAAACTCGAAAGAAACCAGCACTGGAGGTGCACAGGAAAATCAACAGGTTTGTAAGTTCTAGAAAGGCACTGAACTTGGGGTCAGAAGAACCTGGTTAGAATCCCAACACCACCACTAGCTATTTGGCTGACCCAGATATGGAACAGTCCTGAGAATCTCAGTACCCTCACCACTACTAATTTATCGTTTAAAAAGGCAACTCGAGTTGGCTCAGAACGAGGCGAGAGTGGAGTCGGGGAAGGCAAAGTTGTTAGAAATAATAAGATAGCCTATCTTCCAGTGTTTTGAGAATCACTACTGTAGCATAAAATAATTTTATGAAACAATGTTCCATAGAACTTGCTAAATTGTATTGTAATTATTTGTTTGTCTCTCTTACCAGCTGTGCACTTGCTGTCACTCCTGTCTCCTACGGTATAAAGGATGACGACTGACACAGTGTGGGCATAACATAATTGCTGGATAAAGAGAATGGAGAATTAGATTTGGCCCATCTGCGGTCTTCTGCCACATCAGAAAAAGGAATGGGAGTCAGGGAGGCTTAGATTTAATTTAAGCATGAGGAAATGCTGAAGAGTATTTGGAGACAGGAACAAGCTGAGAAAACACTACTATTCACACCCGCTTTTAGGTATGTGACAGATTTGCTCATTCACCACCTACCCACTCGACTGTCTACGCCTTCCTTGTAACACTCTCTTCCCCTGCTCTCTCTGTGTCCTTCCCCTGCTTCTCCTCCTCCCCACCTGCACCTCCTCTGACGGATCTTCCTTCTCTGTCTATCCCTTAAATGCTGGTGCTCCAAGCTAGCCTCCTTTTCAGTCTACCCTCTCGTCCAGTTTCAGAGCTTCAGTTAATATTTAAGATAATCCTGGGGGGGGAGGGGGGCGGCGCGGTGCCTGGGTGGCTCAGTCAGTTAAACGCCTAACCCTTGGTTTCGTTTCAGGTCATGATCTCAGGGTTGTGAGGTCAGCCCCCGCATCTGGCTCTGGGCTCAGCGCAGAGTCTGCTTGACCCTCTCCCTACCCCCTGCTTTCTTGCTCTTTCCCCCCACTCTCTCTTCAAATAAATAAATAAAATCTTTAAAAAAAAAACTTTTTTAAATAAAATAATCCTAGGATTTGTTAAGTCTACGTTTCAACTCAGATCTCCTTCCTGTGCTCCAGGAGGTACACCTACTGGTATTGCCCACTGGACGTCTCCACTGGGATGTCCACTGGCGCCCGAGTCCTCATGTCTGGGATGGAACTCGTCTTTCCCTATTCACAGACGTGGCCTCTCCGAGACTTTCATCCCCGCCGATGGGCACCACTATCCCCCGACAGCAAAGCTGGAAAACCCAGCGGCTCTGAGCCTGTTTTCCCTCACAAGCCCATCCATTCAGTCATATCCCTAACCACCTCCTCCCCCAAAACCTCTTGAATTCACCCACCTCCCTCCAGCTCTCCACCGCGGTTCTCCCTCAGTTCCTTCCAGCACCATCTCCAGCCTGAAACACAGCAAGCTCCTAACGGCTTTCCTGACCCTAGTCTGGTCCTATTCCAGTCCAGTCCTCTTTCTAACCCAAAAATCGGATCATACCATGTTCCCTTTAAAACACACTGACAGGGCGCCTGGGTGGCTCAGTTGGTTAAGCGACTGCCTTCGGCTCAGGTCATGATCCTGGAGTCCCAGGATCGAGTCCCGCATCAGGCTCCCTGCTCAGCAGGGAGTCTGCTTCTCCCTCTGACCCTCTTCCCTCTCGTGCTTTCTCTCTCTCATTCTAATAAATAAATAAAATCTTTAAAAAAAAAAAAAAGTACCATTAAAACACACTGACAGCTTCCCAAACACATTAGCTTGGGAGCTGTGCTGTCCAATATGATAGCCACTGGCTGTGCACGTCTGCTGAGCACTGGGAACACGGACCGCATGAATTGGGAGGGGCTGTGAGACTCAAATACGTACCAGATTCGAAGATTCAGCACGAAAAAATGTGAAATAGCTTATTCACAGTTTCTGATACTGATTACATGCTGGAATGATAATGTTTTTAGACATATTAAGTTAAATATACTTTTAAGTTAATTTCACTTTGGAGCGCCTGGGTGGCTCAGTAAGTTAAGCGTCTGCTTTTGGCTCAGGTCATGATCCCTGGTTTCCTAGGATCGAGCCCCACATCAGGCTCCCTGCTCAGCAGGGAGTCTGCTTCTCTCTCTCTCTCTCCCCCTCTGTCCCACCCCACTGCTCGTTCCCTCTCAAATAAAATCTTAAAAAAAAAAAAAAAAAAAAAAAGCCCTTTAGAATGTGGCTCCCTGCCTAGCTTACAGCCTCCTCTTTTCTCACCTCCTTCACTTGAGTCCCTCCCCCTTACCTCTCAACTCCAGCCTTACTTGCAGGTTCCTGAAGGTTGCTTTCTGCTCTTTAAAACCAGGACCCCCTCTCACTAGAACATTCTATCAGGTCAACTCCTATTGGCCTCATGGGACTCAGCTTTGTAGTACCTGCGAAGGATTCCCTGAACACAATGTTGTTTGTTGCCCCCGCTGCCCAATGCCTCCTGGCCCCAGTGGGGCACCTGTTACATGCCCTGTGCTAGGCATTGACTAAGCCTGACACCGCACCTGATCATACGTTCCCTGCATCTTACAGTTATCCCCAGCACAGTGGCTAGCAAAAGTTCTAGGTACTCTGTACTGAATGGAAGAATAAAGAGAAATACAGTAAATGAACTTATAGTCTCAAACAGTATCTAATAAAAAGACTCAGATACAACCTTAAGAAAGTGCCCTTAGACAAAAGACAAAAGGAACAAAAAGCTATGTTCTAACTTCTGGGTTCAAATGGGTGAAACCTTTGTAAAGAACAACACGACATATTTTTCAAACTTTACAATGATCCAAACCCACGGATTAGGCAACTCCATACCACTGGATCTCAAGTACTGAAACACTTGAGTGCAAGCTCAAATGTATTAGTGTGCTTGCCGTAGTTTCATTTGTTGTAAAAGCAAAAGACTAAGAACAATCTAAGTATCCCATTATTTACAAAAGGCGTTGTAAATCCTGGCATGTCCATTTGGCGGAATGGCACGGAACTGAAATAGAAGCAAGTGGATTCTATGTGCGGAAAAGGAAAGATCTTCACGGTACATTAACGAAGTGGTAGGGAAGGTACAGGACGTTGTATATTGTTTCCCCACATCAGCATGTTTCAGAAATATGTGTTTGTATATACACAGACACGGACTTTTATCAGAAGGAGACAGAGGCAACTGGTAATGGTAGTTTCTGGAGGGAGAGGTGGGGGAAAGGGTCAGAGGGAGCTAGTCTTCATGGAGTATTCTCTTGGCACTTGCTAATCCTATGTATGTAGTACGTCCAAAAAAGACTAACAAGGGCTTTCTGGATGTTCTTCTTCTGTGATGGGTCTGTAGGGCCAAGGAACCAGACCCGATTACTCACCTTCCCCAAAGCCGAGTGAATGGTAAAATATCTTCCCATCACTTAAATTACTTCATTAACTTCCCATCACTTACCGTGATCTTTTTGTGGTCGGGAAACTCAAGGCCAAAATAGTCCCCTTCCACGAGGTTGAGGTGGTTGCAGACTGCGTCCAGCAGCACTTTCCCTGGGGCTCTTTGCTGCGAACAGAAACAACAGGAGTTACCCCCTCTGACATGGGAACAGATGAAAACCAACCTCAGCTCCCACCACGGGAAGCCTCTTCCTTCCTGAATCCTCCGGCCCTTCTCAGCTTGCCGACCTCCATGAACGCCAACCACCGGTACCCCCGACTGCACACCTTGGAGCCCTTTCCAGGCCGTATTCCCACTTAGATGCTAATTCTCTGCCATTTTCCCCTCCCCACCCCAATTCCAGGCACCACCCCCTTTTTAAAAATATGTATACTTCTAGGGGTCCCTGGGTGGCTCAGTCGTTAAGCGTCTGCCTTCGGCTCAGGTCATGATCCCAGGTCCTGGGATCGAGCCCCGCATCGGGCTCCCTGCTCCGCCGGAAGCCTGCTTCTCCCTCTCCCACTCCCCCTGCTTGTGTTCCCTCTCTCGCTGTGTCGCTCTCTGTCAAATAAATAAATCTTAAAAAAAATAATAAAATAAAATAAAATTATAAAAAAATATGTATACTTCTAGAGCAGTTTTAGATTTACAGAAAATGGAAGACAAAGCACAGAGAATTCCCACATACCTCTTTTTACCACATACACAGTATCCAGTATCCCTTATTATTAATCTTGCATCAACGCATTTGTCACCACTTCTGAGCCAACACGGACACATTATCATCACCCCGAGCCCACACTTTACAGCAGGGTTCACTCTGCATTCTACAGCTCTAGACGTCCTGACAAATGTATAATATCACGTATTCACCACCACAGGGTCACAGAGGATAATTTCACCATCCTAAGAATCCAGCCACCCAGTCAACCCTCACCCCACACCCCACGCCCCCCCCCCCCCCACTCCTGGCTACCACTGGTCTTTTTGCTGTCTCCACCGCCTCTTCCAGAATGGCGTATAGTTGGAATCACATGGCATGTAGCCTTTTCAGATTGGCTTCTTTTGCTCAACGGTATGCATTTAGGTCCCTGGATGTCTTTTCATGGCTTCATAGTTCATTTCTTTTTATTGCTGAATAATATTCCCTTGTATGAATGTACCACAGTTTATTTATCCACTCACCTGCTGAAAGACATCTTGGTTACCGCCCAAGTGTCGGCGATTAAGAATAAAGCTGCTATAAATATTTGTGTGCAGGTTTTGTGGGGACATTAAGTTTTCAACTCATGATTCCGTGCCCTTTTTGTGGCAGTGGACCCTGACCCTGTTCCTTGTCCCTCCCTCTGCAAGTGAAGCAGAATTTATGACCTTCTTCCCTAGGTTCTCCCAGAACTTTGTGCAAACTCACCTCCACACCTCACCCACACTGAAGGTAAAGGCTGCATTTTATTAATCTCTGTATCTACGGTGCCTTTAAGACCAACCAATTTGGAGGTGAATGAACAAATGAATAAAACATACTCATTCCACAGTATTCTATAAAGTTAAGTACACATGAGCCTGTCTCTCCACTTAAACTCTGGGCTCCTTGTTCACCTTTATATTCTTATCGTCCAGCAAAGCAGCTGGTACTCAATGAAATGCCCACAGCAATCAATACTCTACATGCATTTTCTACATACAGAATCTGCAAGGGAAAGGGAACAGGAGAGAGAGACTCCCAATTTCTACCCTCACCACTAAGAATCATATGCCTTGGTTTTTCTTCACTGCCTGACGGATTCTTAATGACCCACTAATAAAATGGACCCAAGTCGACCACACAGATCAAACACTGGAAGAAAAACGTTTCAAAACATGGTCATTTCCGGTTACTGCTTTTATACTCTCCCCTTTCCTCTGAGAAGAGCAGAGCATTATAGGAACCAATTAGTAACCCAGGGGACTGACTGACGGTAAGCTAGAGCCTGACAAGTTTAATGACGGGCATTTCCGTTAGCCTGGCCCAGCATGACCTGAGGAGCCATCAAAGATGCTTCCACGTCCAGTCATTGAGCATTTTTTTAAACAGATAGCACTTTATACCCCCATATTCCTCATCACTGAAATCCAGAAGACAGTCATAGCTCTCTGAAGGCGTACAATATTCTCCACAGGTAATCCCAACCTCACCAGGCTCTTTCATGAAGTGCCTGGTTCAAAGGTCCCTGGTAGAATCATCTCATGTGAGCTGATGGCAGGACTAATGAGAAAAACAGGAACGTCTAATAAAGAAGGAAAAGATTTCATTCCCATTCTCTAAGAGAAATCATCCCTCCTTTACTTCCCACGGTGGATTGACTCTGACAGTCTGCAACATCATTCCTCAACACTTGTCTCCAATGGATTTTTTGGAACTTCACACTCAAAGTAATTTTGTTCAAATTCCCATCACAGTATATTAACTAGAATTTAAATTTAAAACACACACACACAAAAAAAACAAAATCACATCACAGAATGTAAAACGGATGGTGGTATTGGTGAATGTCCTTAATGCCACTGAACTGCACACTTCATGGCTAAACTGGTCAATTTATGTTATATATATTTTTATCACAATGAAAAATGAAGAAAAAAAAAAAGAAAAAGTGGAGGTGGGGTTCACATCTATAAACAGCCAGAGAGGGTGATGCACAATAGAATCTGTTTCTACCTTTTTACGGGTCAGAAAGTGAGTTCTTCTTAGAACATCAGAGCTTAGAAAAATATTGAAGGGTAGGACTAGCTCAGGGAAGATTGGCTGTGAAGGCCTGACCACATGGGGAGAGTGAGCGAACACCCATGTGGGCGCACTCAACATCTGCTAAGATTTCTCTGTGCAAAGAGGTCTTTTATGTGTTTGGCAGGAAATGAACGTTGTTAGAGTAACCGCAAATTTTGCATTTGGGGCAGGCTTTGCACTAGGAGCCAGGAACGGGGTTCAAAAAGCTATAAATCCACCAGCACTTTTGCTAAAACAAATCTAGAAATAAGATGATGAAGTGTGAATGGGGGAAGGGGGTTATATCCAACAGCGTGGATAAAGCTAGCGGGCACAAAGCAGAGACCCCAAGGAATTCTGACCTGTACAAGTCTCTTCTCAAAGGAGGGGCTTACTTTAAGATACACACACATTTCTATTTAATGCTGCACAAGCTACCGTACATGAGGAGGGGAAACCAAGAAATTTACACATCATTTGAAAACCTGCACGTTAATATGAATTTAATATGAAATATTAAATATGAAATTTAATATGAATTTAACATGAAATATGAAAAGGATCTTATGACAAATGAGTTTTTTAATTATCACCAAGTGTTATATTGAGGCTGAGGAAACAGACGTCTAAGACTCCCACAGCCTCTAAGAAACAAACTCCATGGCAGTCAACCTAAAACACAGCATTACACTCCAATCCTGGACCAGAGTAGAATCATTAAGGTAAAATTTATTCATACATGAAAGGCTGGGGTACCTGGGTGGCTCAGTGAGCTAAGCGACCAGACTCCTGATTTCAGCTCATGTCATGATCTCAGCGTCGTGGGATCGAGCCCCGAGTGGGTCTCCATGCTGAGTGTGAAGCCTGCTTGAGATTCTCTCTCTCCATCTCCCTCTGACCCTCCCCCTGCTCGCACACCCTCCCTCCCCCACCTCAAATAAATAAAACTTTTTTAAAATGGAAAAAAAAAACAAAAAACGGTCAGTCTGGCCAACCCCACACTCAGCCAGTCTTGATGAAAATTCTAGAAATGTGTGCCTTGCAGAAATGACACCAAATAGTATTATACGTTTTATTCTGGAGAACAAATCAGCAATTAGTGAAACTACATAATCACATTTTTATCACTTTTTTCTTATTGGCTACTTTTAATTATGCTCCAAAAGGCATCTGAATTTTAGACTCACAAATAAGTTGGCTAATTTCAAATTGGGTGTCCCACTTGATTTAACCCATTTGAATTGGCTGTTCATGGAATCCTATAAAATTACCTTTTAGGAGGAGGTTTGCATTTTGGGGAATGTCTGGCCACTAAACACCGAATAACAAATAGTATAAACATTCAAATTTGGATTTAAGCTCTTAAAAATTGTAAATCAGGGGCACCTGGGTGGCTCAGTCGGTTAAGCATCTGCCTTCGGCTCAGGTCATGATCCCGGGGTCCTGGGATCCAGCCCCGCATTGGGCTCCCTGCTCAGCGGGAAGCCTGCTTCTCCCTCTGCTTGCTGCTCCCCCTGCTTGTGCTCTCCTGCTCGCTCTCAAATAAATAAAATCTTTTTTAAAAAATTGTGACATCAAAGTTGCTTTAGTTTATTGTACCTTTAAAAATCTATCTATGCCTTCAGGTTTTTTCTTATTGCATAAAGTTTTATGTGGGAGTATTTTTTTTTTCTCCTCCAAAAGAATAAAGACAATTCTTTCTGCGGTGGGGGTCGTCTCCTCCCTCTCCCTACTTCCTCCAAGCGTCTAAACAAACGATTTCCCCTACTTGATACAAGCTAAGGTTCTGACCTTTCAAAAGCAATCTCATACACAGGTTTGCCCAGGTTTAAAAAATTTGCATCTGCTGAGGTTTCAGAAAGCCCTTTCTGGAAGTGTTGTTTTCTTCCCCCCGCCCCCCTTCCTGGTTTAGGATTAACGTAACCATGACAACCAGGGCATGCTCTTATCCAGCAGAGAATGGCTTCGCTCAAAGGCCTTGGTCCGCTTTTTCTCACCTTTAATACCTCTTAGAATATTATTCAAAGTTCTATAACCCACTAACCCTCAAGTCTAATCTTAGGGCATTAGAATCCTGTAGATTTCCTCACGGCCCTTTGCTACTTTTTGACCAGGTGGGTGGATGTAACTCTGCAGGTTTGAGGAGCCTAAGGTACAGACAGCAAGCAAGTAGCCATCTGCAGGCACCGGGCTTACCTGCTGCAGAAACAGAAATCAATAGGAGTATCTCCGCTAAGTAACCCAGCTAAACCAGATTATGCTAAGTACTCTGTTAGAGAGAAAGAGAACTCTCTGGGGTCTCTTCCTCTAAGAACACTAATCCTACTCAGGGTTTTGCCCTTATAGTTTCATTTGGCCTTCATTACTTTCTTACTCCAAA